TGTCCGGACATGTCTTCTTCAGCTACTTGATCGCTTGCGCGACCTCATCTTTCGAAAAATGTGACGTTTCCTTGCGATCGCTTTGTTGCTGTAACTTTGGGCGGATCCACTCAGCATCTAAATGAAGATAGATTGTAAAAAAAAAACATCTCTTTTCTATCGGTGACTGGCTGGTTGCTCCGCTGCTTGTCGTATATTATTTCTTTGCTAGTGTCTTTGTCCACGGGATGTGGCGCACCTGTTTGAATTCCTCTAGAAATTTCTGGCTATTTTTGACGTCGACGCTTGCTTTCGTAAACTCTTGATCTCTATTTGTTTGCTCAAAATTGTTCGTGCGTTTGCGCGGCCTCTGAGTACCTTCGCTTTGCTATTCGCGTGGCAATTCTATCTCGCAACTTCTGAAAATCAATCGCCAAAACACATTTATTATCTTTTGAACTTTCCATTGCGACCTCCACCATGACTCGCTCCATAGTTTTCGCACGCTCCTTGGGGCAACCTTCCACGACCGTGCTCCTAACCGTGTCCCAGACGGCGTCGACGAATTATGCACATTTCGGGGCTATCCACATTTTTCACTGGTGCGTCAGTATGCATTGCGTTGCTCTTTTCTTGCGATCCGGCGAGTGCCTGAACGTTGACTTCACGGTCTTATGGTCTGAACCCATGTCCAAGAAAGATACAGAGCCTTTGCCCACACACCACATTCAACCAGAAAGTAATCGATCTGACGAAATCGGGGATTCGCCCCTCTATGTGTCCCTCTGTGTTCGGGTCGTTTCGAGAAGGACGTGTTCGCCACCACCAAGTTTTGCGAGCAAGCCCATTCCTTGAACCATTGTCCTCTGAAGTTCTCCTTGCCCACGCCATGCTTCCCAATCACTTTGACACTATCTGTATCCACACTGCTGCCAGCTTCTGCATTGAAATCACCACCCAAAACAATTCGGAAACGTTTAGTTTCGTGCCTAACGGCGTAAATTCTCAACACATGTGCATACTGCTTGCACGCGTTCGTCTCCGTGTTGTTAATATGCTGCAACCAATATGCGCGTCACACCTCGCACTCGCACGTCCAAATGCAACACCCGCTCTCTAACAACCACAACTTGCACCAATGACTTGACCCACCGCTTGTTGAACAAACTTGCAACTCCTCTTTGACGCTCTGTATACCAGCTCCCGCAAACAAATGCCCATCATAAGCTCAGATCAGCTCGTTCTCCACGGTCCTCATCGTCTCGTTCAGGAATACTGCGTCCCACCACGCGTTTGAAAGTTCTACGAATATGGCTTGCGATCTTCATGTGTTAGTGCCTGCACGTTTTTGTTGCATGAAACACACTGCTGCTGCACAGCGAAAGATCAGGGGCGGGCGGAGGCGGAGGGGGCTCGTTTTCAGCCCTGCCTGGAAACAATGCTTCCCCTTGTTTGTGCACGCGATTATGTAAAACATGATTTGCGATCCGTGCCGGTGGAGCGACCGAAGTGGGATATGCGGGTCTTATTGTCGTGGGTTGTGGCCGAATGCCGTAGTCTAAACCAATGGTCCAAATCCTGTCGTTGGAACTGGAATTGGAGCCGGATGCGGGTATGGATAAATCCGCTGACTCCCGCTTGCCAGGGGTGGGAAGGCGGTGTGAAATTTCGCTGTCCCCAAAATCTGATTACAGGGGGTGGGGGGAGGGGTGGGGGGCCGGTGGGGGGCGGTGGGGTGGGGGTGGGGGGACGAGCTCGCCAACCATCCAAGGGTTTCTCCAGAGTCCGCAAGAAGCTCCAAAGCAGCCCAACAGGGCCCAGATAGAGCACCAAGACAGTCGAAGAGAGCGTCATGACGGCCCAGGGAGGGCCCAAAGCTGGCCCCAGGGAGCTCCAAGAAAGCCTGAGAGGGTCAAAATACGAACTGACATGTCGAGCCTTTCCCGATGGCCCCTCGAGTTCCCCAGAGATCCCCGAGGGCCCTCCAAGAGGCTCCAAAAGGCCTCCAAGACGCCCCCCAAGAGCACCCCAAAGGCCCCCACGAGGTTCCGAAAAGCCTCCCACATGGCCCATAGAGGTATCCCAAGAAACCCTCAGATTCATCCCGATCGTCTCAATCACTCACTCTTTGTGGCGGTCGGCGGAATGGCGCCAGCCCCTTGAATAGGTTGGGTTATTGCGGTAGTGGCGGTGCGTTCGTCGACTCCAAATTCCCAAATTTCGCAAACTCGCTACCGCTTGTTCCCACGAGAGTGGTGGGACTGGATTGCTTGCTTCCCCGATGCGACCAATCTCAGTAGGAAATAATCAGCATTTCGTAACGGATGCCTCCGACGTGCAGCCACATACGAAAATAAAAACACTGTTCCCCAAACCATGATGCAATGCAGCGCGGGGCTCGGACGTAGGATGCAGGATCGTGTACTCACAGAACACAGCGTATAACATACCATGCCCATGCGACCTGGATGATGGATAGACCTAGGTGACAGGAAGTGCAGCGTTGGAGAAGATGCTGGATAATATCGTGATTACCCATCGACAAAGACGTCGTAACGGTGTTGATCGAATTTGTGGTATATTCGTGAATGCCGTCTTTGTCAGCATCTGTGTTGTACTATCTTGGGTGCCCTTGCAAATGGGGATTTTCGGTGGGTTGACAAAACGGGGATTCCACATACAACTTTTCAGGGCAACGGTGGAGAATCAGGTGACGTCTTGATGCCTGGACTTTTCTGTCTGGCACTTCACCCAACTTTGGGTGAAATCTGTCGCCGATTACCACCTGGGGCGGAGATCATAGCGTATCTGGAAGATTCGCACGTAGTTTGCGACACCACCGACGCACCGTACATTTTACACGACGTGCAGACGGTGCTCTACGATATCTGCTGGATTGGTGTGCATACTGGGGAACTGTTCATTTAGAGGCACCAGGCCCCTGCCTTGTTGATATTGCTACTCTGGCCCCTACGGTGTGAAAATGTGATGTACCACTCACAAAGACAATAATCAAGATCTTGGGACAGACTTTAGGACAGACGAATACGTGCAATCATATGGGATAGAGAGAGATGGAGAGATAGAGAGCGCCGGAAAACGTCCCAGGGGACGGCCCTATGAGAGCCCGGCGGGAGCGCCGGAGCGCCAGAAGGCTCACGCTTTGTAGTTGCCAGTGGACAAAACGACGCATGTATTCCAGGAAATCTTCTTCATGAGTTTCCACCATGGTAGGTTCCGAGCCAATCTCCACCATTTGGAGTCGCTGCCGGTGGCAGCCATATGGGATGCAACTTGCTGAGCAAAGGGCGCAGCTACTACACCTTTTGCTTCAGAGCCCCCCGCAGCGCCGATGGAAAACGACACCCATGTGTAATCGCGGAACTGGGGCATCTTGGCGCGCCCGACATGGGTACGGAATAAATGGGTACGATTCCCGACAACGAATATTGTCCAAAACGGACGCTTGCCATCGCTCGGACGCTCATTCCCCGTACATTTTTCGGTTTCATGCGTTTGTTGCAAGATGATCCAAGGTGCTCTTCGAGCGTCCTCGCCGAAAAATGCACACGTCCGAGCGATGCCAACACAACGGCCGCTGGTTGGACACTAGACTCGTCGCCTGAAAAAGCAACTTCCGTGGCGGCACCGACAATGAGCTCTGCTCCAGACGGCCAGGAACTGCTGTCGGCCCTCGTTACCACTCCTCAACGCCTAGCGGTTCTCAGAGATTCTCGGGTCATGGCACTCCGGGCCTGCGGCGGCCGCTCGGGCACCCCTGGGGGGAACGCTCTCGGCGAGGCGCAGCTGCTGGAGAGCATGCCGAGGCTGGAACACCACCGAGAGCCAACGGAAGACGCCCGAACACCTCAAGCCCCGAGTCGGCTACGCGTGAGAGTGACGGACCCAGGCAAGAGTGACCTCTGGTGCGCGGCTCTCTCTGGGGGGCCGTGGGGGGGGGGGACCAACAACGAGCGCGCAAGACGTTGCCGCCGCATCGCGCTCGGCGATCCGGGGACCCCACGGGGCCCGCACCAAAAGGCCACTCCCGGCGAAAGGTCACTTTTGCGTCTGGCCGATTCGAGGGACCTCCCCGAAGGCCTCGAGCCTCAGACTGAGCGAGCAACGACATGTGTACATGTACGCCCTCCGCGGTCTTGCGTGCACCAACCTCCGCGTTCAAACGCACATCGGCGGAAACAAACCGCGTACATGTGCGTATGTTGTTGCCCTCTGACAACCCTCGTCCCCATTCCTTCCGCACCCGTTGCAACCTGGCCCACGGTTTCGTGGGCCGGCGGAGCGGCGCGCACGCGCACGAGCCTGCCTGCGGCCCTGCCCACGGCTCGCCCTGCCCACGGCTCGCCCTGCCCACGGCTCGCCCTGCCCACCGCTTCTCGCGCGCCCCCCTTGGCAGGCCCGGGCTGCATCACGAGGACTCGAGGCTTCGAGGATCGAGGCTTCGGCTTCGAGGGTCCGAGGACTCGAGGATTCGAGGATTCGAGGCTCGAGGACCGAGGGTCCAGGCTCGAGGAGCGAGGAATCGAATACTCAAGGGTTCGAGGATTGAGGATCGAGGGTTCGATCGAGGACCGAAGCATCGAGGTCGGCTTCGGATCTCCTCGGAGGACATCCGAGGCGGACCTCGTGCACGACCACTCTCGGAACCGAGCTCTCGGGCTTCGGGGTACGGGCATTTCTGGGCTGCCGGGGGCCCCGAGGCGAATACCCATGCCCACTCCCTCCTGGGGTCCTATACGGCCTCGGTTCCAAAAAATGGGCAACGGATGAACGCCGGCCTCGGATCACACGCGGTCGTCGAAACGGCCGCGGCAGCGGGGTGTCTTCGACCGAGAGAGAGACCGCGCCGAGGAGACGCCAGCAAACGCGTGGGCGGGCGAGCCAAGGTTGCCTGTTTGCGGTGGCAGCTCCCGTGGCCTCGAGCTTGCGCGAGCGCGGACTCGGGCGCAAGACTGCGCCGGGCGCTGGGCGCACACAGAAGCGAAGGGGCGTGCTCGAATCTAGAGTCGGAGCGGGACAACCCAGACCCCCGACGTCGTGGTGTTTCCCATCGTGAGCGACTTCCCCAGGACGTGCTTTCGACCCTGTCTACACTGCGCCAACTATATACGCCTGCACCGATCTTGGTCAGGCCCGTCCTGGGCCGAAGATCCATGTATAAGCGTTCCTCGCCAAGGCAGGAAGGCACATGCCCGGTTCCTGTGCCTGGGACAAACCTGGCCAGGACCCGTCCAGGCGTGTAGCCAGCGTTTCCCTACCCGTCGAAGCCCAGACATCGAACGTTTTCATTCTTTCAATGCGCGGCCCCTCGGAAATCCCGACCCCTCCCCAAGAGACTGGTTTTTCATCCTGGGTCGTTGTCTGCTGGGTCCCAGCGAGGGCTCCCCAGAGGCCGAAGACAGGGGAAAAAACCTCCGTCCTGCTTCTGTCATTGCGCTGGGGGTGTGCGGGGCCTGGTGACGGCACCCGGCGGCCGACAACGGCCAGGAAGCGCCCAGCGCCGTGCTCATTAGGGGGCCACATGTGAACCCTACCCCTACCCCCCACGATTTCTGAGGGGGAGGGTGGGGTTCACTTCGCTCGGGAGCTCCCGAACGAAGTGAACCGCTCGGGAGCTCCCGAACGAAGTGAACCCCACCCCCCCCCTCAGAAATCGTGGGGGGTAGGGGTAGGGCTCACATGTGGCCCCCTAGCGTGCCTGTTCGCGTCGCGGGGGGCCTGGGGCAGAGAGGGGGGGGGTCCGCCCCCGAGGCGCCGAGGAGAAAAACGCCGCGCCCCTCTCGGTAAAGCCCCTTCCGAGGGAGGGCGGGGGGCGGGCGTCCAAGAGGGGGGACGCCCAAGACGGGGGTTCGCAAGCCACGGCTGGAACACGTGTGCGCGGACGACACGGGGGCCAGGGGACGTTTTGAATTGAGAAGACATCGGCGCCCCAAGTTGGCACGGGAAGAGTCGGCACGATACCCAACCGTCAATCTGCCGACCCTGTCGGCGTGTGCGAAACGCTGTTCCGTTTGACTCGTCGTCATCGTCAACGTCGTCGTCGTCGCCGTCGCCGTCGCTGGCCCCCCCCTTCCCTGGGCCCGTCGCCGCTCCCCCCTTTTCGTGGGCCCGTCGCGCGCCATCCAAAGCGAGCTTGAGCAACGTCGTCGTTGAGTCCAACGGAAGTCCTTTCTCTTAAATCCCTTCCCCGCCAGGGGGAGGTCCCCTTCGAAAGTGGCCTGGCAAACCGTTGTGCGTACATAGTCTTATACGATCCCGATATCCCAGCCATGACGTACCGTAGGTAAGGAATAGCGCGAAAGGAGTTTTTGGACAGAATATGTAAGCGGATGTGTGATCAAAACGCGGTGCTCGCTTTTCCCGCACGATAGTTAACATCGAAACGAAGCTGTCTAGGTAAATACTGCTGGGCGCCGCTGTAAACTACAACGGCGACGAATCGTTCGCTTTGCTCGCTGTTGACCTCCATTCGAAGTCGGAGGGGGAAGGAACGAGTGGCGAATGCGCTCGCAACGGTCAGCGAACTACTTTGAAGCAGTGCTGGCAAAGGCCGTGCAGCGGACAACTCCACAACCCCGACAAGTCGTCAGACATTTACCATTGGTTGCGGGTCCGCCCGTGTGAAGATTGGGAGCCTCGCAACAGCCAAGAGCCCGGAAACCCACTCGCCTAAACAAGTCCTAGAAAAGACGGCGGGCCCGTGACCAGGCGCGTGAAAGCAAACGGCCATGCTGTCCACAAGTGCCTCAAGCGCCGGCCCTCGTAGGGCCAAGCTCTGCTGTTGAAGCTTGATTGGCCCGGTGCGGTGAGTACTTCTTCAGATCGTGCTTGACAGATTGGATACCTGACATCACTTGTAGGCGTGGCTAAATCTCAATGCTACCTATGGTATGCCCGTCGGCTGTCAGATCGCATGTGCCACACCACTGTACACTACGCGCGACCCCCCTGCCCATCACTTGGCAAATCCAGCTTATGTGATCGAGTAGTATAGTTTGTCGGTTTCTGTAGGCCCCTGCTCGATGAAGATCGGAAGACGGATTCTGCGCCGATGGTCAGCGTGACCTTGATGCGCAGACCTCCAATTTCCAATGTGTTTCTGATCTATGTTGGTGTGGCTGGTCCCGCGTGGAGTTCGTGAAGTGTCACGGTGCTCTGGCAACAATATCCCATGTTCAGGGCTGCAGCTGGCGCTTCCGCTGAGTAGCTGGAGCGCGCCTGCGGTCGGTGGGACTTGTAGCGCGAGTCTACCTAGTGAGAAACAAGCTTTCCAACTTGCGTGCGTCCGCGCGTAAGGAAGTTGGCCCCTCTGATAAACGCATCCTTTCACCTCGCCGTCGACGTCGCCGTTCTGGCATCGGTAGCCCGGGTCGCTGTGCAAGTCCAATTCCTGTTAAATTCATAGTTTGATCGGCAATTTTCTCTGGGCCCGCATGCAACCTCCTCGCGAAGGAGCTAAGTCCTCGCGCCTGCATGGCGGTCAGCTGCTGGGCGCACTGCAGAAAACGCTGCGCGCGCAGTTGACCATGCTTGGGCGACTACAGAGCAACCCGAAGCACCCCGAAATCAGATGAACATGTCAGTCGCAGTCTTCGTCGCCGCATCTTCGGCGGCTTAGACGCCAGGAAGTCCAGGATGCCTTGGCGGGCGGAGCCGTTTGACGTTTCGTCTTGATCAAGGGAGGCGCTGCCATCCTCGAGCTTGACGCAGCTCATGGCGCCACTGCGCGTGGGAAATTTCACTCAGTTTGAGTGCGCCGATTATGCTCCCAATGCATTCGACGCACTTGTCGATCGCGTCCTCAGCGCCGTCCGTGTTAATCTCGAACACCTCATCGCGCGGCGTCGGTCGCGATCCGAGCCCCCCAAAAAAGGCGCGAAGCTTCAGCGATAACGCCTCCAAGGCGTCTTTAGCTCCTGGGCCTGGTCTGAGGCGCTGCAACCGGTGCTTCGGTTAGCCATGGGGCGCGAAGCCGGGTGGCGACCCCCGGGCGGCAACTCAGCCTGGCGGCAAGGTAAATCAGACCAGCCTTTATATCTCGCTGGTTGCCCCAGGCAACTCGCGGCGCGCGTGCCCCTCCAGACAAGGTTTGTCGATGTCCATGGATGCGATGACCCATCGCTTCTTGCGCGCGGCCGTGCTGGCGAGTAGCCCCCGGGTCGGTCGCCTGGACGCGCCCCGGGAGGGTCTCCGTCGCAAGCCTCGACATCCATGGGCCCTCGTGGCGCAAGGCTAAGTCGATTGGCACGTTCCATGTATCCGTTTCCATCCTTGTCGAAATTCCAAGTGTATCCATGCGTACCTCGAAGTCATGATGTGTGGCGCGTTCTTGCTTTCTTGCAAACTTGAGCATGTCTTGTCGTGCCAGATCTCGAGCTCTGTGTGTAATGACTTTGGACTCTTAACCGCGTTCGCTTGGGCCTCAGCTTTCGCGGGGAGGTCGTCCTCCCTGGCGACTGCAGCCCGCTGCGGGGCTGCTGTCGCATATGCGTAAGTCGTAGAGACGTAGCTGGCGTCCAATAATAATTCTGTTCTGTCAATGCGACCTTGGACATGTCTGCCGTGGAACGTAGTTCGGCAGATTGCCCGTGCTCGTCGCATGCTGGTCCGTAGTTGTCGTCGGGACTAGGTTGGGCGTAGATGAGCATGGTCTGTTTCCTCAGTGCCATGCTGCAGGTTGCCCCGCCTTGGCAGGTGGCCCTGCTTTTCGCTGGCGACGTCCGCAGATGCGCAGTTTTCGGTGATCATCTGAGATTGTGCCGGACATCATTCTCTTGGAGTGGCCTCCAAGAGTTCCTCTTCTTCCAATACTTAGGTGTGTCGTGCCTCCATGGCGTGCACCCCGAGGGCGCTGGACTCCTCGTGGATGGTGTCTATGCGGTCATTGTTGGCTTCAGGGGCGACACCCTCCTGAGAGCGGCCGCTCCATTGCGGCGGCGCGTCCGCCGGCTCTTCGGATGCGGGTGCGTCCCCATCGCAGACCGCCGCCGATTTCGAGGCCCTGAAGCATTGGATCGCTCGTGCGCGTGGCGTCCCAGTGACGTCGTATATGCTCAGGGCTGTGCCATAATATTCGTGGTCATGAAACCCTCGGGTAACAAATGTCGTTGCCCATCGTAGACCAGCGTGCGCATGCTAGAGTAGTTGGCTACAATGAATCGATTGCTTCCTTTGGCCGATGTCACAGCGACTGCGTTTCCGATGCGGGAGTGATCCTTGAGAGCAGATGTAGTGCCGAGTGGGCCTTCGGCGATAGCTCATCGCGGTGGCATGTCGCAGGTTCGCTCGCTTCGTTGGCAAGTCGCCGGACGTCATCGCAAATTGTCCCGCCCGAAAGGCTGCAATGGGGGTCAACGCAGTTCGCGCGGCCGTGCTACCACTCTCGCGGACGATGCTTCCGCCTGCAACGTGCGCCTGTCTTCCATCGGCAAGCAAAATAACTTGGCCCTGTTCGAGGTCATTCCTCCAAGCTCAGCCTAGGCCACCCCGGCCTCCCCAACAATTTTTCGTTGTAACCTGTCGGTGGTGGTCCACGAGCCGTCCTGGTTAGTGAACATGTTGGCCAAATGGTGCAATCTTAATGCGCGTGACGCGGTTGGTTTTCAGCTACTGCACTGGCCTGCCTGATACCCAAAGGAGATCTCCCAAACCCAGTGTTCGAGGCTGTGATCAGATGCCACTTCATGCTGTTCGCGGTCAATCGTTGGAGGATTTTTGTGAGGGGGGGTCACGCAGGCTGTCGCCCGTAGAGGGCCTGGTCGAGCGATGCACATCGTGGAAAGTGAACCCGCTGGTCACAAACATGGCTTCGTGCAGTTGAGTTATTTCTCCACGACGTGAAGAACATGTCGACCAATGCCATGTCTCGCTTCGATATTGATAGCGCGCTGGCTACGCGCTCGGATGCGGAGCACAGTGCCCTTTGGTACCATGACAGCCTTGGCTGCGTGACAGTCCAAGGCTCCTTTTTCGGGCATCTTTTGTCGAAGCACCCATCGGATACAACGATCGGCAATTTGCCATGCATCGCGCTGTTTACACGGCGTCGAATCGCATTCGGCTTCTTCACTGAAGTGCCTGGGGGGCTGTCTGACGGCATAACCGCGTGGCCAGGTATCTCTCCAGTTATAACTCTGATCAGAATAAGGCGTGCGCTGTCAAGACCAATACTGACAGAGTTAGTCGCGTCTTAGTTTCCGTGGCGTGGCGTCATCGAAGATGTAGTTTGGGCATTTCTTCAGGCGTGAATCATCGATCGTAGCTACGCATGCTTCGGGGGCAAATCTGCACGTCGACCCGTGAATCGTCCAGTAGTCTCGCGCGTGGCCGTGCTTCAGCGGGTGCCCGAGGCGGCGAACGTCTCGTCGCCGCCTCGCGTGCGCCCGCGCCTTCCTGCAACATATCTGTGGTCGGTCGAGCGGCCAACGCCACATGAAGACCCGCTGCGGCTTCCACGTGCCATGTCGTAGCTGCTTGCGCCAACGGTCGGATCTGCTTCCCACGGTTGCGGTGCGCGTGGCCGCGCTGGCCTCGCCGATGCTACTGGCGCGGCAAGCGCAAGTGCGCCGGCTCCTGCTGAAACTGGCGGCCGCCCGTGGTTTTCGGGCGGTTGTCAACGTTTAACAAACTTACACGTGCCAAGGATCCGCAAATGTCCAGCCTTACTGTTGCCGTAATATGCATGGGATTGCGGCTGCGTCGAGGTGGGCTCATCTGAACCAAACCTCTGCATGGCGGTCGTATGATAGCACCGTGGGGTTGACGTGGTGTGCTCGAACCATCCAAGTCAGAT